GGGACTAATAAAGGTATTCTGATTCTGATTCTGATCGCAAAAACCAAGCCAATACTATGCTGCGTTCACGGAGCTACTGGAAGTGGGGAAGGACAACGCTTGATTGTGGATACGTGATTTCAGATTCGAGCACAGTTTATTGCTCTTATACCTTGATTGTTGCCAACTACGATGCTCAACAGCTCGCTTAACGGAACTTTGATGCTGGATCAGTTTTGTTTACCACCAATCACGGGAGTATTGTGTATAGAAAGTGTGTAGTTGTATTTCTTGCGCTACCTTACATCCATGAAGGCCTCATGACAGAGGGAGGGCTGTCACTCAGGGTGCCAAATTACTCTTTGGTAAGCCCCGCCCCCCGAAGCAATATCAGGGTAAAAAGTCTGAAAGCGAAAAAAAAAGATCTGAAAGCGAAAAAAAAAGATCTGAAAGTGAAAAACGATCTGAAGGCGAAAAAAAGATTGAAACCTGAAAAAAAAAGATTTGAAACTGAAAAATTTATTGTTTTGAATCTGAAAACGTAAAATCTGAAACTGAAAAAAACAAGTATTCAAATATGAAAATATGAATAAAAGTGAAATATGAAAATAAATATTTTTATTTAAAAAATTTGCTGAACTGAATCAAAAATAATTTTCAACCTGAAAAAGTATTTCAAATACTTTTTTTTGTTTTGAATACAACATTGTATTTTTCAAAGTTCAGGATGAAAACTTGGACTTTCAAATAAATTGTATTTTTTTGAATGATCAAAACTAATGACCCTGAAATAGCTCCATACTTTTTGGACCTGTCACAAACATAGTGAAAATGTGATTCAACCAGAACCAAAGAAGTGACCCATCCAAAACACTGTAATACTGCCGTTTAAAATAGAAATTAATGTAAGAAATAATTAACTTGTGAATTACGTGAGGCATTACAGAGTAGATCTATCATAACTTTCTGACTGAAATAACCTCAACATCAGATTGTTGGTGTCAGGTTAACCGAAAGTGGACCTCTCTGATCATGAACAGTTCTGCGTTGTAAGAATGTCTTTATGAAGGTGATTTTAAGGTAATATCTCTGTGTTTAGATGGCCCGCACAAACCAACTATCATGGGACCAAGTTTCTTAGGACCTGGAGACAACGCCCCTTTCAGGTGCTACGCATCATCAAACCCTCCCAGCTCCTACAAATGGTTTTTCAATGGGTCTCTAGTTTCCAACACATCTGAGTATGTCTCCCCTCCTCTTACCGAAGACATGAGTGGGACTTACACCTGCATGGCCTACAACAACATCACCGGCAAAAACAGCAGTGCAGACAAGATGCTCACTGTTTTGGGCAAGTAACTGTACAAAAAAAACAGTACATTTTCGTAGAAATGCTAATTTGTTTGGCATGATTGTTGACACTCTGTCTGTTCAACACGAAGCTACAGCCGGCAGACACTTAGCTCAGTTTAGACTCGAAACAGTTCTAAACAGCTAGCCGATCTCCAGCCAAAGGTAACGCCATTTGACTACCAGCAATTAAGATATTTATTTTATAGAAATTAAACAAATGAGTAGTCAGAGAGCCTTAGATGTGCTACTAGGCACATTCTTTAATTTGGATGTATCCAGGCTCGCTGTTTCTGCCTGTTTCTTATCTTTATGCTAAGCTAAGCTAAGCTAAACATATTGGGGAATGGTATGTTTTCATGGAAGAAAGCAAATATTTCCCAAAATCTCAAACCAATGTTTATTTACTGCACAAATGAAAATCACTAAAACATATAGCCAAAGTTTCATACATTTCTTCGAGTGCCGTCATCTTTTTATTTTTCTCCCTCGACAGCTCCAGTGACTATGGCGTCAATAAAGATTGTCGGAGCTCAGCCAATCGAGAACCACACTTTCACTCTGACCTGCGAGACAGAAGGAAGTGTGGAGTCAGTTATCTGGATGTATAATTGGTCCTCACTGTATGCTGACAACAGAAGAAACTTGTCAATGGACAACACCACCCTCACCTTTGATCCTGTCATGAAATCTGACAATGGGAACTATCAGTGCGTAGCATCCAACCAATTCAGTAGGAACTACAGTCATATCTTCTCGCTGGATGTTTTTTGTGAGTATTCATTATGCATTTTATCCCAATCCCCCTTTAACATGGTTGGGCTTTTTCAATCCATAAAAAAGAGAGAGATTCAACCAAACACTTTGATTATATATATTTGTTTTAATCTGGAAAACGTAACCAAAGAATTAAACATTCACTTGTTGGTGTCAGATTATCCAAATGTGGACTTCGGTATTCATACACAGTTCTTTGCATAGGGTATTGACAGTCATGTGAGTGATTTCTTTTTTCAGTAAAGGTGATTTTAAGGTTATGTGTGTGTGTTTAGATGGACCAGAAATGCCAACTATTATGGGTCCCAATGCTGCTAAGAGAGGAGACAATGCCACATTCAGCTGCTACGCCTCATCAAACCCTCCCTGCTCCTATGAATGGTTCTTCAATGGTTCTGTAGTGTCCAATACGTCTGAGTATGTCGCATCTCTTCTCACTGACGAATCGAGTGTGATGTACACCTGCATGGCCTACAACAACCTCACCGGCAAAAACAGCACTGCATACAAGATGCTCACTGTTTTTGGTGAGACTTGGACTGCTATTTTACAGTTCTGTTATATGTTGTGCAAAAACAGGACATTTGGCTCTGGATAGACCTAAATAACTGTTGCTTTTTTACTTACCAGATCCAATAGAAGATGTACAAATAGAAACACCAATGAATCCTGCCATAGTAGGTCATTTTTATGAACTAACGTGCAATGTGACTGGAACTGCTAAGCATTTTTACTGGATGAAAAACGGTGAGCTTCTGCATGAAGACAACAGAACTGTTTTCCACATGGATAACAAGATAGTCACTTTCAACCCGCTTGAACTCAATGATACTGGACTGTATCAGTGTATGGCTCTGAATCTTTTTTGGAACAAGACAAGCCCTTCTTACATGCTTCTTATGAACTGTGAGTAACACTGAAGTGACAATTATTAACTGTCACTTTTTTAAATCTTAATTCATAGTATTTGTAGTTTCTAAATGTTGGTACCATGAGAGCCTACTTTCTTTCTTCCTGTTGCAGATGGACCAGAAACACCCATGATTGATGCTCCAGCTTTTGCGGAGGAAGGGCACTCGGCTGTCTTTACCTGTTCTGCCAAATCAGTGCCTCCGAGTCACTACAGCTGGTGGTTCAATGGCTCCAGCGTGGCCAATTCTTCTGTGTTCACAACTGACCCTTTGTCTTTCAATATGAGTGGAGAATACACCTGCGTGGCCTACAATAATGTGACGGAAAACAACAGCACTAACTCCAAGATGCTCACAGTCATTGGTAAGACAAACTCAGCATCTCATATTGTATTACAAGCCTAACTTCATACTGTAATCTATATCTTTTTGCATATAATATTACTATGCCACTATAATGCTCATTTCCAGGTTCTTTGTATTTTGTGTTTCTACTGTGACATGTTTATATGCTTTAATGTTCAAAAAGGTCTGTAAGACTGCTGTAAAGCTCTTTTCACCCTCTGTCTGAAACCAGAGCCAGTCTGCTCTGATTGGTTAACTGGCCAGCTTTATTGTGATTGGTCAACCGCTTAGAGATGTCCCACCCCTTGACCTATCACGTACAATGTGTTTTATAGCGCTAGCCACTAGAAGCACAATTGTTACATAGTGATGTCACTGTGTTATGGAAGTAAACAAAGGAGTCCAAGGGAGACCATTTACATGCACATTAACCTATATTACACACTACAGGAAAGGGACAAACCCAAAAAACATAATATATTTAAATATACTTAACTGCTTTTGTTCTGTTTGAAAGCTAAACTACATTTAAAAGTAGAATGTAATCTTATCTATTGGGTTTGACTTCTTCAATGCATGTCATGTGACTGTACACCTGATGAAATACTGATTGATTCCTGCTTTGTTCTCTTCCCACAGAGGCAATAACATCAGTGATGATCAGAATCACCACAGTTCCAATAAACTCAGATGTCTTCATTCTCGCCTGTGACGTTTCTGGGCCTTATGACATGATCTACTGGATGAAGGACAACATGCACCTCAACATGACAAACTCCACAGCAAACCCTTTCGTGTCCTACCACATTAAGAACAACATGCTGTACTTCACTCCAGTGAATCGGGTTGATGACGGGACATATGAGTGTGTCGCTACCAATAAGGCTGGTCAACACAAAAGCCCCACATATGTGCTCCTGGTGAACTGTGAGTAAATCCGTTGGGAAAATCCTTATTTATTTTATTTTTAAATGCTGCATGACAATGTATTGTTGCATCTTTGAGAATAGTATAATGAAAACAACGCCAACATCACATCTTCAAAGAGTGCTGCTATCTTTAATGATCAGGTGATCTAGTTTGGGTGAACTTTATATAAGTTAGGCAAATGTATTGAGCTGGTGATTGGATATTCAACAAAATGCAGAAGTGAATATATTGTAATATGGTAATAGTTATTTACTATAACAGTAATTTTTACACATTGGTTTTCAGCTTTACCAGGCCACAACTTTGAGTGTTAAACAATGCAAATGTAGACCTTTAAAAAGTAGCATTGTGTGCCAAGGCAACACATTTTCTACCTTTTTAGTGTACCTTATTCTGACCAAGTCTCTGTTTCTGTGTTTGCAGACGGCCCTCTGAATGTGATGATCTCTGGTCCAGATAAAGCAAAGGTTGGCAGCTCCGTGTCGTTGACATGCTCCGCTGAAACTCGGCCGGATTGTGACTTCCACTGGTTCTTTAACAATCCGTTATTACCGAATGTAGAGGTCGGTCCTGTTATCACTTTCTCTGTGACCAAGGAGAATGAGGGAATCTACGTATGCAGGGCGAGGAATCCTGTGACCAATATCGAAGCGTTCCAATACAAAACCTTCAATGTCATTGGTGAGTGATATGATGAGCATATGAGCACTTGTTGACTTTATAGTATGGTATGACATCCATAACTTTGCTATTAAAGGTAGGGTAGGTAATTCACTTCAGAAACACTTTTTGTTATATTCCATGGAATGCTCTTAACATCCCGAATAAATTAAATGCTTAGACAATAAATATATACAAATATTTCATCTGTGGAAGCCGTGGCGCTGTAAAAAGCAAGTCCAATTATCTGCCTCGGCCCGCAGCAGATAACTGGATGGCCAACCCGCCTGCCAGCCTTCCATCTTCTCGTGCACAAACTTATCTCATGCCCTCATTGGTCATGTGCGCGTTTGTGTGTGTTGGAGGAGGGGCTCTGTGAGGAAGTCTGAAGGAAGGGGCAGATTTTTTTCGGTTGTGTACTTTCAAATTCTAGTTTACTCGAGCTGGTTTCTCCATTCTTATCTACCCTACCTTTAATGACTTCAGAATATGTGCTTTCCAATTATAGATACCTCCCGTTTTACTAAATGCAACATGTGATTTATTTGTTGTTGTTTCCGTCCCTTTCTCCCTCTAAGGTCACGCCTCTGCCCTCCACTTCCATTCCCGAGGCGTTCTGATGTTGATGGGTGTGTTTGCTTTATCTTTCCCTGTGCTGTTCAACTGAGTCCTTCACATTTTGTCCAATTGCTCCCTCTACAGGCTTAACACTAACAGTCATATTATAACATGTATGGAAAGGTACATAGTCAATGATATGATTTTAATGTTATCAGTTATTGTGTTTCTTGTTGTTTTGAAAGGCAACGATGACTTAGAAAGCGTGACTGACTTTAAATTAAGTAACATTTTGTTGTTGGATATTTCTTTTTATTAGATTTATATTTGTTAACGTGCAATACATTAACACCGGCATTGAAAGTGGAAATCATTTTAATACTGTGTAGGGTTTTATATCAAATTCAACTCCAAATCAACTAACCCCTTGCCCTTATTCCTCCAAGCTTAGCACTTTCTACTTTTGTTGTTATTTTTGTTTTACTTGCTTGTAAGCGCTTTGATCACCAGGAAAAGCACTTTATAAATGTAATGTATTATTATTATTATTATTGTTAGTAGGTCAAGGTAAATGTAAATCGAATCATGCTTTAATTCATAGAATGTTTTTCCTAATGAATAAATAATCAACACAATCAAAATCAATTTAGTTGGGACTTTATTGAGGAGGATACATTGTCTCTGTGCTTATTCAGAAAGTTATAGTTACGCAAACATTGTCAAAAAGCTACAACTGTTTTTTTTAATCAATATGCATGTTAGCGATAAATGTGTACATTTTAATTCAGTATAAGGTATTTATAGTACTTCTTTGTTGTTGTTCATATCGGGATACTGGGACCCAAGTTCCTGGTGTTCCTGCCCTTCTTCAGTTTGGAAAACCGTCTGCACGTCCTCAGATTCTTGTTTTTTTTCTTCTGGCAAAATGTTTTCCCTTGTGGTTTGAAAGAATCCAGACAAATAATAAAAAAACAAACACATAATGTCACTAGTAAATCTCTAATCAACCCTTTTGAAGAGTCCCTAATCACCTTTCCATACGAGCCAGTGGAATATACTGAATACAAGACTGATATCACTTATTGTTTTACTTTATTTTTTAATAAATCTCTAAAACTATAACTCACATTTTCCATTCCTGCCGTTGCGTCTGCCAAACTGCTGACAAAGGCAGCGGGACTTCATCTCTCTTTCTTTTCCTGGGCGCCCCCAAATACACAAAGAGAACAATGGGTTAGGATGAAATGCACTCCACTAAGGCTGTGTTTACAGTTACCCGCTAAATTGTATCACCAAATGTTGCTTTTACCTTCACAGTAACAAGCTCTGTTGCGCTGTCTTGGGATGTCGATTGGATTTGCAGAAGTCAGTAGTTCTCCAACAATAGAGGCTTCGATACAATTGATAAAAAAAATACAGATCATTAATGAACATGAATGAAATAAAGTAATGCAGTTACAACAATTCAATACATACAAATGGACAACTTGTGGAAAATGTGTTTTAAACATCAAAATCACATACCATCTGAGAATTTGCTGACATCCAAGGATTTCTCATGTGTCTCAGGAATACCTTTGAAAATCACAGAATAAAATGCAGAGGATGTAAACATACTTTAAAATGAATTGAATAGTATAATACTGAAAAAGGTATACACTACCTTGGCTGTGATCAGTAAATAGGAGCAGGGTGAGAGCCAACAACAAGAACAGTCTTGGTCCCATATTGTAGTTTAGCAAGTCCAATACAATGAGTCCACTAACTTCAGTCCCAGTGAGGGAATACAAGGGATGTTGTTTGTCTCATGTCTTTATAAAGGCTGGTGTTCATTTCTGAAATGATAGCCGTGGCACATTCAACGCCTGCCAGGTATTTGAAGCTTGAAACTTGCCCTACCAGCACCTTTCACAGTGGGTGACTGTGAATGACAGGAAACATGCACCTTTGCCAAAAAAAACTGTTTGTGGTTTTGAGTCATGGCTCATTGTCGTGAGAAAGTGAAAGACCTGATATCCACTGAAAGAAAACTTACTGGGTCATCTTATTACATGATCTTACCAAAAAATAGCCAAGAGGGCCAGCCTTTTTTTTTTTATATACCATGGTAAAGCCTTGATGGGGGAACATAATAGACATGTTTTAAACTGTTACTGTGAATTAGTAGCATGTGCAAAACAAAAATCTCAAAAAGGATGTTCTTCCTACTTGGTTGGTGGTTTGTGCTGCAGGGACATATTGTCATTTTTTTTATTCCTGGATAAGGCTTTTCATGCTGTACAAACTTTTGTAATCATCAATCAAAAATGATGGGTGATGTTATCAGCCTTGTCGACAAAACTGCCATGGGTGCACCACTAACTGTCACATGGTAGATCATGCGTGCTATAATCCAGGCAAGGTATGTGGTCTGGTATTGTATTGTGTGATTAATGTTGGATGAAACTTTTGGGCAAAACGAGACTTGTTCACCAGTCTTAAATAACTGAAGTGTAGCTCTCTGCTCATAACAATGTTTAAGACTGGAAAAAAACAAGTAAAAAAACATAAAACAAAAACCCCCTTTGGCCATCGATGTACTCACAATGACCCTGCTAGTTAGTGAGCTAGAAAAGAGGATATATTACTCTTCTTCAGGTTCATATTTGTATTCTGTGTCTCTACTGTGAAATGTCTCCATCCTTTAATGTTCAAAAAGCTCGTTATCTTTCTCATACTGCCTGTGCTGCAGCACCTCTTTTCACCCTCTGTCTGAAACCAGAGCCCAGTCTGCTCTGATTGGTTAGCTGCCGGTCAGCTTAGAGATATCTCGCACCTTAACCTATCATGTACAATGTGTTGGAGCGATAGCCAATGGACGCACGCGTGTTACATATTGATGTCATTATGTTACAGAATTAAACAAAGGAGTCAAATGGCGGTGTTTCAGGCCGGTGGGAGGAGTGTGTGGGGGAGAAACTCTCTCAGGAGGGATCTTTGGGAATTTAGACTTTGCAGACCATTTACATGCACAAAAACCTATAACAAGCTAAAGTGAAGGGAAAAACCCCAAACAGGATAACAGGGCCTCTGCACATTAGTTTCAATACATGAATGTATCCTACCCAGTATCAGCAACCAGATATAATTAATGAGTAACGGACACTAAAACAATTTTTCATATTTAATGCATTCTTTCATCACTTACAGTCAGACATCCTGAAGCATAATTTCAAGGCCTGTAGCACAACCCTCGTAAGAGGCTCAGAAGCGTTTTAGTGTAAAGCCTTTTTAAATGATCTGATTGATCATAATGTCGCAGTTGAGGTTACACTTGAAGCACAAGCAATTTTTAGATATATGTATACAACTTCACAACCTACTTAAATACATTTATGTTTGAAACAAGACACAGCCTCTCATCGCAAAATATGTTAATGTTACAATAGGTGAAGCAAAAAAGGTGCAAAGACAATAATGAGACAACAAATCACATGGTGAAAGGCAAGTAAACATGGTTATAGTCAATGAAAAAACATTTGGTCATTCAAATGAACATATACAAAAGACACCAGACATCACCATGGAGTAAATAAAGCTATTGGCAAATGAATGTAACTCATGGAACCAAAATGGCAAATGACAGCAGTTTTCTGGTAAGGGCAGTATTGTATCTCATTTCTTTTAAACCAGACATATACTGGCAACCCGTTTCAATTAGTTCCTGTTCCAGTAGCCTCAGATGGGCAATGCATTTTATCATTGTTTATTTTTTGTTATATCCGTCCATATTCTAACTTAAATTAGGCCTTGTACGTCTCTAGACAGTTTTAAGTGAAAACTGGAGAACCCAGTTATAAAGCTTTAAATAAGGAACAGCAACTAATGTTTTGACCTATAGCATATCTTCATTGGAGTAAAAAGTTGTTGCATCTTTTTAAAAGTTTAATTTCAACCAATTGACATCTGGATGTAGTTATCCATAACGGTGTCTTCCAGCATTCAGATTTCCTTTCACTGTCTGGCTCTGATCGTGTTCACTCATATTTACCATGTGTCAGAGGAATGTGAATATTCTACTATGAGAAAACACTTTGACAATCAAAAGCTCGTGGATCAGATGTTTAACGGGAGTAAAGGCAATACTTTGTTTCTTTACAGCACAGCATGTTACATTTCTGACTGTATCATTACCACAACAAAAACTCTATGGTCCCATAATCTGTAACAGTGGTCACCAACCACCATGGAGAGGACTTAATGTGTTAATAATGTGTACAGCTCTGAGGCTCAAATAATTAAGTATGTTGATCATTGATGGTGTTAATAAGCGGAGTGCTGTTCTCTGGAAACAGGGATGAGGACCACCTTCTGTGACTTTGTGCCCTGGCTGCTCAGTTCTCAGCAGGCTTCTCGAGCATGGTCTTGAGATGGGCATGCAGGGGGTCGCACACAGCCTGGAAGCCCTGGGGGGTCAGGTGAAGGTAATCGTACATGTCCTGATGGGAGATGCTGCCGTTGGAGTGGACGAAGCCTGGGTCCACGTTGAGGAAAGAGGCGTGGGGGAGGGAGGTCACGGCCTCTTGCACCAGCTGGTTAACAGCGGCGTTTCGCTCCCGGCGAAGGTTTGGCGATTTACCTCTAGGCAGTAAACCCTGGAAAACAAATGTATGTTGCTTTAAATGTTGGACACTTCTATTCTAACAACACGGACTATAACTACTCTTGTTGTTAAATATCAACTATGTGCAATATGTGCAATATATATATATATGCCGTTAAAAACTGTGCAATATATACTTGACTGCTAAATCCTCAGAACTGTTACAGGATGTGTATTTTGTAAGATGTGTAACTCTTTTTAATATAATTATTTGTATCTTTAATACGTTTTTATGCATGCTTTAGGTAACATTAAGCTGTCTTTGGCTCTTTTCTGCTCTAACAATTTTTTATTTCCTCTGTGGGACTAATAAAGGTATTCTGATTCTGATTCTAGTAACATTCCTAGAAATACATGGATAAATGTAAAAAAACATTTCACATCTAAGGGTTGTTTCCCAAAATTAAAATAAGGCTTGATCAGTCAACAGTTTCTCACCCATGTCAGAAGTTATGTTATAATAGTCTGTAGAGACCAACTAAACATACAGCACATGTTGTTGCATCTTAGCCTTCCCCCCAAACAAGTAAACCCTTCAAATAAAGTGTGACAAGTAGCGTAATCCAAAAAGTTCACAAAAAGTTGATTAGTCTTTTGTTTCTAAATTACACAAAGTTTAAATCCAACTAAAAGTGTCGGCATCACTATGCAGTCTAATGGTCGCATGAACCTTATTTGTCATTTTCAACGGACATGCAACTGTAGGAATGCATTCAAAAAAAACCTACGAGTACTACAGTGCGGGAATTGGGGAGCTTGTTCTTGATGACTTGGACAATAGCCATGATGCCTCCACAGATCTGTTCAGGAGTATGGGCATAATTGAAAGTGCCCACCCACAGCACTACAACCTACAAAAACAGAAGAGAAAGAAATGTTTAAATGTCATCCATAATAGTTTAGGGTCAATATACCTGGAGATGGGATTCAAGCAAAAAAATAAAGCACAATGGGTCTACTGTGTGAATAAACAAGTACAATCATGTTCTCTATTTTTGGCAGGGATATAGACCTTTGGGCTGATGTTATCCAGCTCGCCGTTGCTCAGTCTCCACAGCACATGTTGTGTTGCATCACCACCCACCCCAAAATTGAGGGCATGGAGAGGAGAGAACAGCTGCCTCCATAT